CCCCTACTGGTCTCTCCACCGCCCCCTCCCTCCTTTAGTGGTCTCTCCCTCCCCTACGTTCTCATCTCCCACCCCCCGTGTTCTCCTCTTATTCCCCCCTCCCTGTGTTCTCCTCTTCTTCTCCCCCAGTGTTCTCCTCTTATTCCCCCCTCCCTGTGTTCTCCTCTTCTTCTCCCCATCCCTGTAATCTCTTCTTCTCCCCCCTGTAATCTTCTCTTCTTCTCCCCCCATAACCTTCTATTCTTCCCTCCATAATCTTCTCTTCTTCTCCCCATAATCTTCTCTTCTTCTCCCCTTCCCTCCCTGTAATCTTCTTCTTCTCCCCCCTCCAATCTTCTCCACTCCCCCCTCCCTCCCTCCAATCTTCTTCTTCTCCTCTCTGACTGCTACAAGACTATCACTTTAGTTCACTACAATGGATACTCAGCTTGCTCACAGCACATCAAAGTCTCGCAATGGTACTGACCATCTTCCCTGCAGAAACGACCGGGAGGCGAAAGATTCCCTATGCGGCTTTCAGGCCATTCCTGGAGAATGAGACGGGGATCGATGAGTATCTAGCAGACTTTGAGTGGCAGTGTGCGCTCCATCAAATTCCCAGCGAGGATTGGCCCACAATATTGTCCGGGAAACTGTCAGGCCGGGCGCTAGATGCCTTCCGGACACTATCACCAAGAAAAAGCTGAATGACACTCATACCGAATGGGCTCATTGGATGCGACGGGTGGCCAACCATTGGATGCAAGGGTGTCAAGCAGTAATAGCCGAGTGTGACGAGAGCAATCTCGCCACATTGCATTGGAGAAGCCTGGTTGCTCGCCTGCTGCCTTTGGACTATGGCCCCATGTTAAAAGACTTTGTTTTGCCTGCAGAAAAGCTTTATTCGTGCTTTTCTGCCTGGTGTTCGGTAGATTCAATCTACCGAACAACCACACGAATGACTGGACCACCTGGGAGCTAGAGTTTGCCGGCAATTAGCCTCCCAGAAGCTGCGGTTAACCGCAGCTTAATTGATGAATGCTGGGTGGCCGCCATTCGTATCACGAACACGAGGTCGCGGCCATTTTAAACATGCGAATGCACAGCGGTGTTCGACGCTTAATTCATGGAACTAAAATCGGACACAGTTTTGCGCGAACACTGCTGAAGCCGCCGACCTCCCTTCTTGGTCGGTGAAATATAATGTGACTGTGTGTCCTATTTGTCTACATGTCTGTCCCTTGTCACAGTCTCCAATTTGGTCCCCTAGGGGAGTGTCCACCTGGTGGGAGACCTGCATAAATACCGGGCAGGTAGCCCTCATTAAACCTGGCCACTGCTTGACCCACAACTGCTTGACAAGTTAGCTGACGAACATTCTGATTCCCGTTAGCTTGAAAACCCTAACTGCCGACCAGCGATTCGTACCGAAAATAGGGAAAACTACCGAACACCAGCCTGACCAGACTTCAGAGCCCCAGTACCAGCAGGGCCCATCCGATACACAGGACCACCCAGCAGCAACGGTTCAAACCGTCCCCGACCGACATGTTTCAGGTGCAAGCAACCTGGGCATCTTATGGCAAGCTGCCCTCTCAACAACCACCAAACCCCCCGGAACTATAACTCCTCTTCTGGTCCTTCTCGACCCGCTAGAGCCCTCTGTGTCAACCAGGAGAGTCCCATGGAGGAATACTCGGGGCCCCTTCATGAGGCAGATCCAGTATATGCTGCCTCTGACAACCGCCAACACCACAGGCAAAAGGTTTGGCTCGAGGGTCACCCCACCGAGGGGCTGAGGGACACTGGCGCTACGATTACTCTGGTTCAAAGCCACCTGGTGCCGGAACACAAGAGATCAGGACAGACTGTGGCCGTTCGAGTGGCGGGGGGATGTGTATAAAATACCTACCGCTAAGGTGCATCTTGATTGGGGAGTGGGGAAAGGGACTGTGAACCTGGACATAATGGATCATTTACCAGCCGAAGTGTTACTGGAAAACGATTTGGGCCCCATGACTTCTGCCTATGCACCATCTTATAACTCCGATGCTCATCCGGTGATTACCTGAGCGCAAGCCAGGACTAAGCAAGACCCCTCACCGGTGTGGGAGACACAGGTAAGACTCACCCCGACCTTGACCCCCCCCTGTAGCCCCATACCCTGGGACATCCCAGCCACTTTTGAGACCTAGTCCAGGTCTGACCCGATCCTACAAAAGTATAGGGAGAAAGCAGAAACTGGAGGGGGTGGGCTAGATAACGAAACTTTTATATGGGAAAGAGGGAAACTGTATCGTCTGACCGAGAAGAAGGGACAACGTAGGCGACAACTAGTAGTGCCCCACAGACAGGAGATACTCAGAAGAGGGTACGATATTCCCTTGGCTGGCCACCTGGCCGTGACTCGCACCCTACACAGTATCACTCACACCTTTTTTTGGCCGGAGGTGCACGCTGATGTTAGAACCTATTACAATAGTAAGCGGGTCGGGAGGAGAGGTGATCATCCAAAGGCACACCTGGTGAATATGCCCATTATAGAGAAGCCATTCAGCCGGGTCGCCATACAAACACAGCAAATATGGCATGTCTGCAAGATCAAGTCTCTCCTTAGCTCCCCTTACCACCCCCAGACCAATGGGCTCTGTGAGAGGTTCAATGGGACCCTCAAACAGATGCTTAAAACCTTTACCCAGGTGTTAAGACACCCCCAGTGTCATTAAATGAAGCTGCCGTTTAGTCGACCTTCCCCTGCTGCAGTACCAATAATCTCCGTTCGCATAACCGTAGTGCACGAGCCAAACTCAGGGGAAGCGGCAATCTCCCGACCGGGATCAGTGAAAGGCTCCAACCTCCCGAACGGAACTCCACGAACAGCTGCTAGCCGCCGAACAATAATATCCACCAATCGGCTTTCGGTTCCATCCAGCAGTCTCTAAGCGCAAATAATAAATCCCCCCAATAACGAGACAGAAGCTCCGCATTGAGGGTCAAACAGGATCTGGCTTTACTGTGGGCTACCTGCCCGTATTTATGCAGGTCTCCCACTTGGTGGACACTCCCTAGGGGACCAAATGGGAGACTTAAATGACAGACA